CATCATAAATACATTCTGATGAGGTCACTGGATACTCGTGCACGCACACATACACATTCCCAGAAAGACACAAACCACGACTTCAGAGAGTGCATGTCTAGTTCAGTGTAGCTCAGACAGACAGGCCAGATGTTGCAGAGACAGAATACACAGCGTGCTACAGTAATTAGCATGCCTGTGCTGTGTGCTGCAGTATTGATATGCAGTCCATGTCTGGAGAAAGAATTCTGTTTGGTCTCGCTGGCTCTGGCTCAGTGCTTTACTGGGAATCATTTCCCTCTCCCTACCCTTATTTCTCTGTTTTTCTGTCACTATATATCTTTCTCAGCCTTTCAGTTCAATTTCAGTCAACTTTATTGGCATGAATGAACAGAAGAGATGTGACAAAAATGGAAGAGAACAAACTTTTCCAAAATCATCACAGTGTGCAACAAAAAAAGCTGTTAGTTTGTTAGCATAAAAGTTCAACCGAACTTAGAACTTAGATACTAAGACAGTACCTAGTGAGCTTAATTTATCTAAAGGACCTGTGTGTAGGATTTAGTGGCATCCAGCAGTGAAGTTGCCAATTGCTACTAACTGAACACCGCTCGCGTCTGTATTGTGTGTAGTGTAGTGTGTAGAAACTACCTTGGCTGTGAAACTGTGAAAAAAGCTGTATCTACAGCCAGTGTTTGATTTATCTGTTCTGGGCTACTGTGGAAACATGGTTGACACCACAGAGACGTCTGTAGATAAAAAAAAAAAACTGTAACGAAAACACAACGATTGATAACCTGAATAAAAAGTAAGTAAGCATGGTGTACATATTTTACATTATAAAGCCATCTAACGGTCCTTATGCAAGCGCTTCATCTCCCACGGAGAACAAATGATGATGAAATATTAAGTAAGAAGGAGATCAGAGCAAAAACACATCTTTGTTCTATCGCTGGCAGTTTGAGGTTTTTGTTTCTTTAAGTCCTTATCCACATGTGCCTTCGCTAACCTACCACAGAAATAGTCGTTTGCGAATCTGGAAGCTCTGATCTGCCTCTCGGTCTCAGTTTGTTGAGGTAGTGGACTGCAGGCAGGTCTAAAGGAGAACTAGTATCGGATGTCTTTATATTCATACATTCAACTGCAGCCTATACGATGCTTCCTAAGTATTTTTATTATATATTATATATTATATTTGATTCCAAGTTCATTGATTGCTGTCTGGTGTGTAACATTTATGAGGATATATGGCAAAAAATACTTCAATAAACTAAAAATGTATCTGTTTGTCAGAACCAAAGAGACAAAATAACAGAAACATCAATGAAACTATGATTTTCTTACTGTTTGAAGTCACTGTAGCTCCATATAAAAGTGGGTCCTGGTGGTTAAAGAAGACTTTCCTGTAGCTCAGACAAGTTCAGTCAACATCCTTCCACAAGCTGCCTTCAAAACATCCATGACTAAAAAAGAGAATATTAAAGGTTCTCACTGGATGAAAACTACTAGAGAGTCTACATGAAATACATTTATTCACTTTAAATCAGAAATTAAAACCATAATCTCGTCTCAGTGTTAAACAAAAGAAGTTAAATTATGTAATTAGATTACTTATACGATTTTGAGTCATTTTAAAACCCATGCTTATCAAATAGCTTAATTTTTAAAGAATTAATCATTAGTGGATTCAGTTACAGCCCGATGATGGAGAAGTGCTTTTCTTTGTATACATGAGCACCACTACACAAAAAAAAAAGGCATTCAGATGTAACTTGATCTGCTGCCTTTTCACCGCGGGAACCTTCACGCTGTGAAGCTCGGCGGGCTGAAGTGGTTTGATCCTCTTTATGTTCTGGTCCTTGACTTGAGAAGCGGAGCTCCATGTGGGAAGTCGAGAGGAAATAAGGGAGTGGGGAGTCAAGGGGTTCGTGTTTAAATAATCTAAAGTGGAGACCTCTCTCAGCGTCTATTTCTTGGAGGACGATTGAGAAGTTTGCTGTTGATTTATCACATATTTGATATTATGCAGTTGGTTTTCAAGGCAGTACAGTGGCCCAGTATCACCAGACAATTGTTTGGAATACTTGATTTCATTTTCTTTTCATTTGTTTATGTGACTCAGGATCAGGATCACATGGAGCACAAATAGAATATAAAGTAAGAACAAAATGTTAGCACCTGGCAGGGCTGAAGTCAAACAAATATTTCTTGGAAGGACGTTCTTCAGAAAGGCACATAGTTTATAAATCAGGCATATCTGATTGTAATAAAATCGTGAGTTTAAACATAGATGGACTGTTTAAATAATCATTTGAAATACCTTTCTCTATGATTCATTATGCTTACATTCTTAGATTCAAACAAAATATGATACTCCCAAACGATTGTCAGTACAGAGGTTGCACATCCTCTGGTTTCTATCCAGCCCTTAATCATCTAATGACTTTAGGAATTCTACTGTTGTTGACTCATTTGAAATTACAAATATCCAGCCTTTACTTTTGTTTTTCGTATAACAAAATAAAATTGAACAAAATTTGGGTTCACAACCAAACGTTTTTCAGCATGTTGAGCTCTGTCTTGTTTTCGCATTCACTTCTTCTTAAACATGACTTTGCACTCACAGTTTTGAAACCAAGGTCCATTTCTGTTATTAGGCTCCAATGGCAGCAACAGCTTTCTCATGACTTTATCTTGGATTTCAAGCATATCATCTCCACCAGTTCCCATGTCCATGCAAAATAAAACCTCACTTTTCCATTTTAAGGAATTTCAACCTCTATGAGCTCCGTGGTTCGTGTTCTCCGCCTGAACCTGACCCCTGACCTCCAGTGATCAATTAAGCAACAATTAGAAGGGGTTTCCCAAAGGTTCAAAGCCCTAAAAGGCATAAATTGTCCCTGTTGGACCATAGAGAACCTTGCAACGCTGTAACCTGAGCAGATAAAATCAATCTTAACATGCTAACAATGCCAAAACAGCAGTAGCCCGATGCAAATGACACACGTAATGAGAAAACAGCAGAACATACAGCTGCAAACAGACTGTCCTTGCATCCCGCTGTAAGTATGAAGTTCAGTTGAACTAAATTGATTGAGATAGGGACAGTACACAACACAGCGGGCTGCACCTACACACATATCCCTATTTAGATTCACCACACATCTTTCTCCCTGCATCATTTCATGCTCCGACCACTCAAAGTAAAGAATCCCCGCGGCAGAACAGTAAACACCGTTTGATGTCGTCGAACAACAGCTGAGCATCATGAAAGAGGTAAATGTGAGGCATGGTGGGGAGCTTTGAAACATCAGGTGTGCCAGATAGGCTGAAACACAATCTAAATGTAGCACAAAAATGGATGTTAAGGTGTGGGTGTTGATGGGAAGGGAGTCTGGGTTTTTTTTTTCTTCCTCAGAGAAAGGCAGGCGTCGCAGTATGTGGTGGTGGGTAGTTGGAAATGAGAGGTCTGTGGAGGCACGAGGAGCCGTGAGGAAATGACTATATTTTTTGAAGTGTGTCTGATCACCAAGACCCAAACATAATTTTCCTGAAGGCTTCTTTGCAGGAAGTCAATGATAGATCCTCTAAGCTCAAATGCCTTGTACTCATTCCTCATATAGTGTTTTAGCTGCTTGTTTCCAGTCAGTTCTGGCGTTTTTTTTCTAAACGCTGCCTGCTTAAATAGTTTGATACACAAATGCTGCAGTACCTGGAATTTGTCACCAAGCAACTGCTCTGTAACCATATTAGTTGACTCGCTGTCCGTTAGGGAGCAGCAATCACATAAGTCTGAGAGTAAATAACTGCATCTGGAGGATTATACTTCAATTTAGCTGCAAACCGAAAGTCGCTTTAATGACTGCAAGTTATTAACTTCATAATTTTTATGTTGTTCTTCCTTTTCCTACCCATTTTTTTCTATAATTGGACACAAACATCACACAGATCTACTTTCATCCAACTTCAGGTTTAACAGGAATCAGTTATGTTTTTGACGTTACTGAGCATGAGACACCTCTCAGTTTACACTCATTAATTTAACCACTGTAATATTTCAGTGTTTGCTCTATTGCACTTATAGTTCAGTTGGCATTTCAGCTGACACTTCAACTGCTTTCATTACGAGCCATGTTTCCATAATGCACATTTGTAGTTTTCCATTGGAAAAGTTAAATGAAAACAGCAACATTTGCAACAAGAAGTTTTAATGCTCGCTTGAGGTGGTTTTTGTCCCTTTTTTAAAAAGAGTTAATGCGCTTAATGTGAAATGGAAACACTTCTGAATAAGTTCTGATGTTTGAGGTTCGACTGGTGCTCTATGAATTAAGTCATCTTGTTGCGCTATCTTCTTGTGGTTTTCCCACTGGAGAATTGGTGCCTTCTACTGCACATCTCGATGAACAAACTCCTAACAATGGCGTAGCGATAGTGGATGGAAGCAAGCATTCATTCACATTTCTTTTGCTGATTTGCTTGAAATTTTGTTAAAACTTGCATTACATTTGGATGGAACGATGGCGAACACCTCAACTGCTTTCAGTACTTAGGCTGCAGTTTAACAGACATTTCAACTGACACGTTAACAGCTTACAGCACTTGTCATCTTAGCATTTATCCACCCTTACAGTGCAGTAAACTTTGCATGAACACTTCAACTGGAGAGCTTTAGTCCCTCAACCTTGGCTGACACTTCAAATGCTTTCAGTGCTTCTGCCTTAACTGTTACAGAATTACTTTTCTGAAGAAAATAGTTAATTTCTTACTCTCCTTGCAGCCTTTACAACTGTAGTTTTTCAGTCTAACTCATGGTTTAAAAGTACTTATGTATTATAACAGTGGGACGTCTATTTGAACCAGATAATTAACCCCAAACTCTGTCATGAGTCTACGCTGTCTAACTGGTCCTGATTGTAAGAGTCCCCATTAAAACTGTTTTAACAGCAGGATGTGTGGGGGTGTGGGGGAACTAACCAGGCCTTCCTTCCCTCCTCGATCCCCCCCGTTTTCTCACATCCCAGAGAACCACTCTGCCCCTCCAGATGTCACCGGCTACACCAACAACACCGCCAACACCACCGCCGACGGGATCCAGGTGGAGAGAGCCCCAGGCGCCGGCACCGCCGCCCAGAGACAGACGCCCAAGTACGGCAACGCCGAGCTGATGGAGACCGGAGACGGTGAGTCAGAGCTGGGAAAAGAGTTTTGGGGTAGCAGAAATTATTATGGTAACACGATCTGTGTTTCCATTAACTGATTTATATGTGCATATTGAAGTATTCAAAAATACTGATGGATTTTGCTTTTTTTGAGTTATTGTTTTTCACTGTTTGAGGTTCAACTGGTGCTCTTTCTTTCTCAATGAACCAACTCTTAATATTCCCATTACGGTTGTAGATGCAAACAAGTATTCATTGTTTCTTTTGCAGATTTACTTGAAATTCAGTTAAAATTTGCAATACATTTGATTGGAAACACGACTAATAACAGAAAGCTGTTCCTCTAATGGTTTAGCCACCAACATTTATTATCTTCCACTATGACCTTTTTCATTCCCCAACTCTCTTTTCAAGCATGAAAATTCCCTCATTTAATGATGACAATATTTACATATTTGTAGCTTAGTTAACAGCTTTTTAATGCACTGAACATTTAAGGTATTAACAGCAGTTGTCAGGAAGATAGAATATAATAAGAAAACTGTTTGGTCAACTTGAATTAGATTCATTATTGATTAAGAAAGACACACATAACCATAATAACACAAAGAGATGCTTTAATGCCAGCGTTCAACAGGTTATGTTGCGCTTGGTCAGTGGGTGGACCCAAATGCAGGACACAGATGGTGAAAGCATGGTGAGATGAGTAGGTTTTATTCCAGAAACATTGCCGAGGTGATGATGATGATGAGAGGGTTGAGGAGCAAGGGTGGATGGCTTACTGAAGGGTGGCTGGTAGAAAGGTGGCAGACAGGTGAGGTGTAGTCCTGAAGCCAGAAGTATTACACAAGAAACTAGATAACTAAGACACACTAGGACACAAAGGAAGCCTTAAAAGCAGTGGTAGCACTGAAGTGAAGGCTGGATGTCTGTGGAGCTGTGGTAGAAGTACTGAGCTGACGAGCAGATGTCAGGCAGGTGAGTCAACCGGGAGAGGTGATGAGAAGCTGGGAGCCAACACACAGACACAGAGAGACAGACAGGAGCACAGGAGACACGGGGGGGAGGGGAAGTCCAACCGTGGATGTAACAGGTGAACCCTGACTTCGGATGTTCTAAAGAGTCTTTGTTGGATAATATCGGTCTGCAAACAGCTGCATATCCTAAAACCGCCGGAGGTCATATTTTGTATTTTTGTCTTCCGATGAAACCAGGAGATGTGATTCAAAAGACAAATCAGCTCTTGAAAGACTTCAATTTCCTGACTTTCTTTTGTACTGGAGGTCTCATTTAATACAACTCACTTCCTTCTATTTAACCTTCCTACTTCACTGATTGTGACCTCCGGTGAGCGATTGGAGGACGTCTGGGAAAAATGCCTAACAATAATTTTGTCTCTGTATCAGGATATCATGAGTCATGAGTTGTGTGTGTGTGTGTGTGTGTGTGTGTGTGTGTGTGTGTGTGTGTGTGTGTGTGTGTGTGTGTGTGTGTATACAGCTGTTGTGTTTGTTCAGTAGCCTCAGGCCCGACTCTGTGGTCTGACATGTGCTGAGGATACACAGGAACATCCATGTGTTGAAATATATAGAGGCTTTTTTGAAGAAACGTCCTCTCGATTCCTTTGTATGTCTGGTGCATGTGAAGAAATTGACATTAAAGCTGACTTTGACTTAAGTGTATCCACGGATGCTGGATAGTCAGTCAGAGTTGGAGTTGCTGATAGAAAGTCAGTCTATATAACAACATACTAAATGCTAAATGCGTGACATTCAGGGTTGTTTTGATTTGATTTTGAATTATTTGTAGCTTACTTACTAGTTAATATTTTACACAAATAGAATGTTTTCAACCTTTTAGCAGATTAAACAGATAAACAAAGCAAGGTGAAACCACTTTTCCTTCCATAAATACTGTGTGTGTGTGTGTGTGTGTGTGTGTGTGTGTGTGTGTGTGTGTGTGTGTGTGTGTGTGTGTGTGTGTGTGTGTGTGTGTGTGTGTGTGTGTGTGTGTGTGTGTGTCGCAGTAAAAAAGTCGTGATAAATTTAAACATTTTTATAAACGAGCAGCCCCCTCAGCACCTCCAGTGCCTATATCTCTTCTTACTGTTACTATTTATTGTTTGTTTTATAGGTTTTTAAATTAATTTTATTTTGTCTGCCTTTTGAAAAAGTTGGTTTTCAGTATAAAAGGATCGAAAGTTTGGAAAACATACATCACGATTCACTTTACAGATGGCTGTAGAGTGATCTTGATGCAACAAAACAACAAATAATAGTAACAAAATTTTCTTTTATTGTCGACTAATTCATCCTCATTCAGCTCTTTTAACATGAAAACAACTTGTGGTCAGATTTGGGTCAGATTTAAATGCTTTTTCACCGTTGAAAAGATGAATCCAGATATTTCTGTAGACCCCAGAGATCTGAGATGACTGAGGGCTTCAGTTTGCACGTTTCATAGTTTCATAATTCGCTCTCTGGATGGGCACGAAGCTGCAGCAGACGGACTCGTTCATCAGACACTGCAATCGATGCCGCAGCGGACGAACACCCTGAACGCAGCTCATAGCGAAGCAGCTTGACAGATCAGGTGCCAGAGTTTACAGATGGGAGCTTATTGTGATGTTTGGCTGAAAGAGACTCAACAAAGCTGAGGCTCTCTTTCAAAACGCTGAGAGGATTTCATCAGAAATTATTCATCTTTGTTGCCCACAATGGGTGTTTAGGGTTGAGATTTTTGAGGATTTAACCTTTTGATTCAGTATGTGGGAGCAGAGATTTCACTTTAGTGCCTCCAAATAGTTTTTACATCTTTACATATGAACTTTTGTGTAAGGATAACTGGCCTTTAAAAAAATATATTATCACTGTATAATCAAATTCATTCTCAATCTGTGCCAGTAAAATGTCCAGTCCTTGCATTATCTGTAACATTTTCCCTATTAATTTTTAATTATTTTAACCAATAAAAGACCAATATTTTGTACAGAGCAAATGCTGCGCCTCCTTTTTGAAGGTTTATTTTTGTTTGCAGCACTTTTTGTCTTTGTGTTTTCTCTCTTCACATTTTACAAACTTTAAAGGGAATTTTTATGTTATTCACCTTTTAATTTTAGCTCCATCTGACCCGGCTGTCTTTGCAGAAACTCCCAGTATGTGTGTTGAATGTTAATGTGTTTAAATTAAATGCAAAGTGAAGTTTGTTCTGTTAATTCTATTCGACCCTGTGAAAATTTCTCCCCACGGCCTGATGGAAAATGAAGAATGGACAATAATTAACTCTGGACTGTTGTATCCAAAGAAAAACACTAACTGCCTCAATGGGGTTTGACAGTACACCAGCTTCTTCATGGTGACTTTGGTAAAACACTCTGTTTTGTCTGTGGCTCCAAGCAAGTCTACCAAAACGTCTATTAGCTTCCCGCTCTCAGTACTCAGGCTTCCACCCTCCACCTCTCGGTCTCGAAGCGCCTCAGTCTGCAACAGTCTGTGTTAAAATCAGTCTTAATGAAACAGCAATTTGTACCCACACCTCGTCTGGTGTGCCAGTCTCTCCCATCACTGAGTGTCATGTTCAGCGGTGGCTCCGTTGATTGCTCACTCGAGGGAAACGTGCCACTTTAATGTAAAACTTGGGGATGTTTTTGTGGCGGCGCGATGCACTCAGGATGTCGGTTCAGTGGAATGTGACTGCTTCACCTGTGCACCTGTGAAAGCAAAATTAGGAGTTTTGTCTTGGTCTTGCATTGATATGAGTGTGTTTGTGTGTGTGTGTTTCTGCAGGTGTTCCAGTCAGCAGCCGAGTTTCAGCCAAAATTCAGCAACTCGTCAACACTCTGAAGAGACCCAAAAGGCCGCCGCTAAGAGAGTTTTTTGTCGACGACTTCGAGGAGCTCCTGGAAGGTAAAAACTCTCTTTACTTAGAAAAATATTTTGAAGGGGCCTCTTTTAAACATGTTTCAACAAAGTATTCATGCAATCTGCTTCTTTTGTTTATTGACTGATTATTGATTGTTGGGATGCAGGTACAGGAAATGATAAAGGGGTATACCGTTAAGAGATCTATTATACTACTACTCTATTACTATATAAAGAGTATTTACATCTTTTTCTGAACACTTTTGAAGGCACGCTTTAAAGTTTTAAATTCTCTTGATGGATTTTTCCTTCAGCTCCAGGCAGCTGCTGTTCCTCATTATTTTATATAGTATAACATCTATTAGCGCGCTCATGGAACTTGTTTGAGTTATGTGATCCATCACAGCAAACATCAATTCTGCACTGATTCAGTTTCATAATTTCTCAGCAGTAATCCAATTTCAGTGCAGATTTATTTATGAAGTCTGGACTGCACAACAACAATGAAACTTTGACAGAAATTACACTTGATCCCACTGGGATGGAAGTTTCATGAGTCAGCTCGTAGATTGTCACGCTGTGCATAAATAGATAGAAACTAATGGCTGCCTGGAACAATAAAGAAAACACATCCACATTTGTACGGACAGTTACTTGTGATTTTATTATGTTCCTTTTAAAGGGTCAGTGTCCTAAAAAGTTGAGAAAGAGTGGTGATAATGGCCATGCTGCTGCGTCTGACAGTGGTATTGGCAGCACAATTATATCAAAAGAATACGACTGAAATGAAGGCCCCAGTAAGCACTGAACCCTTAACGAGTAATATAATTTTTGTTTGACCAGCAGAAGTCGTTATATCGCTCCATTTAAAGCGACAAGTGACAAAAACACAACAACAACAAAGTCACACAATATCACAAACTAACTTACCAAGTGATGCAGCAATCGACCAGCAACCCTCCCTTGTTCTACGATGTGAAATTACTGTTTTTATCAATAGAGTCTGGTGGCTTTTAACAGAGTGGTATAATGGCTGTTTCTGGCTGAATAATAAAGGCTCTTACTCTTGAACAAAAAACTCTGTAGGGATCCTTTGCGTAATGTCAGACGCTTTGAATTTGAGTCTGTCAAGTACAAAAACCAGCACCGGACGTACTTCGACATCCAGTCGCAGAACGTTTTGGGGCTTCCATCTGAGACGACTTACTGGACCGATTACAAAACTGTTTGAAGTTTTTTTATGTATGTAAAATTCAAAAAATACCAGACTCACCCCTCACTGTATTTTAATGCCTTGCTCCTCATGTTGAGACATTCAAGGTAACTCACTTAAAAAACTGCTGAAAATCACAGACACCAATCAACACAACTAAATTACTTGAGCAGAGCTTTTCAGTTCTTCATTCCGTAATGTCTGCTGTGACAAAGCAGAGTCTAACTGATGAATATTTCCTTTTGTTTCCAGTATCAAGAGCTGCAGAACCAGAAGTTTATTCATAATTTAAGCATGAATAGCAAATGTTGGAAAGAGTGAGCTTGATTCAGCGCGCCACAAAAATGTTCAACGTGTTATTTCGTTTAATTAAAAGTGAAATTCCTTCTTATGAGCTTCCTCTGTGCTTTCCGTGCTATTTCTCATGCCCATTGTCATAAATACGGTAGATTTAACTCATAATGAGGACAAAACTATACCATTGTAAACTTCCTACTAATATTATTTGATCAATTAAAGCATGTATGATGATGATATTGTATTTTCTGTGCAGCAGACATCACTTATTTTTTCATTGTGAGGTTAGTGATCGTTAAACTAATGGTGACGTCCTGAACTGGAGAATATGGTTCCCGGAGCACCGGGATCACATAGAAACAAAACTAATTGAATTCATTGTTTAAATTCAAAGCAAAAATGGACAAACTTAAATTTTTTCTCACTGTCCTCCTCCATTATTCTCCTCCCAGTCCAGCAACCAGACCCCAACCAGCCCAAGGCGGAGGGGGCCCAAATGGTGGCCATGCGGGGCGAGCAGCTGGGCGTCGTAACCAACTGGCCCCCTTCTCTGGAGGCGGCCCTGCAGAGGTGGGGCACCATCTCTCCAAAGGCCCCCTGCCTCACCACCATGGACACCAATGGCAAGCCGCTCTACGTGCTCACCTACGGTAAGAAAATCCTCCGTTCACGCTGTTTTTAATGGAATAAAAAAGAATATCATGTATTTGCATTTTCTCTCCAAAACTTGGATTTAAACCTCGGTACCACTTTAGATTTGTCAATACTAGAGCCAATATGATACCTGAGTTGGGATACTTTACTCCCAGAAGTCCCCACACGTCCTGGAAAGCTTGGACAATTAGAGACTAGTTTTCTAGTCATGGAAACACCTGGAAATTGATTGAAACAACTAAATATCCTGCAAATAATCAGTGTTGTTCTGGAAACTTTAAATCATATTTTAGCCTGTGCTGTGGCCAAATGAATGTTACTGTTAGAGGAAACCAGTAGTTGACCTGACTGCTGCACAGAGTCAGCGGACATGTTGGCTCACTGGAATGGCTCTGCAACACTAAATGGAATGGAGCCTTAATTTGTATCATTGTAACACCAGCGTTTACCCTACTATTGTCAAAATGGCTGCTGTGAGAAAGGTCTGTTTGTGAGCAAATGCTGTTCTGATTGTCAAGAAAAACTCCTGGAAAATGTCCTGGAAAGGTCCTGGAAAATGATTTCTTAAAAGGAGTGGGAACCCTGCTATGCTACATACATACTACATCTTTGTCTAAATCAAATTGTTTTTGATATAAATTGGGAACTATCTGATCAGAAATAAACAAGATTACAGATCTGACCAGATATCTGATGCCAGCTTTTGGTCCTGGACAGTTTTCAATATAATAATCTGTGCTGAGGATTACTGAAAGACTGTATGTACATGAAGGGTTTGTGCTGAAAGATGGCATCATGTCCTGATTTTTCCAAATCAAAATCGAATTATTACGGATCAAAAATATTAATCTAAGCCTGCTCGTCGTGATCGCTGTGACAGCCCACATTACCTTTCTGCATCCCAAACCAGCCACCACAGTCAGTCAGTTCTCAATATTCTGTCGTAATGTACCGATCAATACTAAACATTGCTTTTGTAGTATATGAATTCGGCAGGGCCTTTTTTCTATGAATTGCATTCCTGTCTTTCCTGCACATATGGTGGCTCTCACAAGCTGATTAACTGAAGCACCAAACAATGTTTAACACCCGCTGTGTGAGCATAATTCCACTAATGGCAGCCAGACAGAGCGCTAAGCACATTAGCAAAGTGTGAAAAAGACGCTTTCAAGAAAGCTGCGCTGCTACAGAGGGAGGGGAAGTTTTTCATCCCAAAGGCCAGAATATGTTTTTAAATGAGTTATTTTTCTCAGGAATACATCCTGAGTGACTTACAGGGCAGCCTGTGTAGGTCATACTTGTTATTTTGAAAACTTTTGTGCTGTCTGGAGGATTTTACTCTTTACTTTATGATTTAGTTATTTTCTTACTGTAGTTCCAGCTGCACTTGTAATTACACATCAGATGGCCGTTAGTAAAGGTGAGAACACGGGTCTGTAGGAAACCTACTTGAATAATTTTACAAAAGCTCATCAGGGGATCCGACTATTAGCCAGACCAGGTCCAAAACAGATCGGAGGATCATTATACCTGGTCTAAAATGCAGTTGACAGGAGGTTTTCTCAACTGGAGCTGCACCAGCGTTCCCTCTAAATGATTAACTCTGACTGAGACGTGATCAGAGGTATAAGACAGTCCACCTGGATTAGATATATTAACATATACTATTACTGTTTTTATGAGCCAAGTGGACCTGTGAAGACCTGCACTACAAGTTTTTGATGCCACTGGAGAAGTTAAACATAAAAACACCATGTGAGTGTTAAAGAAAGACTGTAAAGGAACACCAGATGTATTTGGTGATTGGGCAAATCCATTTACACGACAAACCATCTGCTCGCTACAATCAGCACTGTGAGAAAGTGAGTGAAAAATGTGAACACAGTTGTGGTTGGTTATATAATTCTTCTTCTACTATCTTCTAGTGTTGTGGTGGTGCTATCAACAGGTGAAATCTGAAAGATTCCTTCGCCAGAGGCAACTGGTATAAATCCACCTTTTCAGTGTTGAATCTATCAGAAAACAAAGTAAGCGTGGAGAAAAACAAGTCTTTAGCAGCCAGAAGAGAGAAGACAAACCCACAGCATGATAAAAAGTAATAAGAAATGCTCCAAAACATGTATCAGTCGTCTCGCCTGCAGCAGCGTCCCATCGCCCCAGCTCCCTGAACGCATTCACTGCAGCAGAATCACATCACGTCCTAACCCCCAGCTCAGTGCCACAGTTTAAGTCTATATTTAAATTGGAACAAACTCTTTTGTTCAGCAGCTGGAGGCTGCAGATCAGTGTTATTCATCTCCCAAACGGCAGTGGAGAAAATGACTCTGCGTCCGGAGGGTGTAAAGAGATTTAGCCGCAGCGAAGAGAGCCGCTTCTCTTAGGTCCTCGTGAATATAGTGTCGGACCTCCCTGCTGCACAGCGGAGGGGAATGAAGTGACACCAGGAGGACCTGCACACATATTTACACACAGACTGGGGTTCAGAGTTTGAAGAAGCACTCACATCTTTTACTTAAAACTACAATATATCCCCAAATGACAGCGAAAAATACTTTAAGTCTCTTTACTTAAAGCCTGAGTAGGAACTTTGATTTCGTGTTGATTCTTTCGGCGCTGTGGACAAAATCAGTGTTTCCACTGCATCGTTTCATGGATTTCAAGGAGAATCCAACCAAATTGTTATATAGAAACAGCCAATCTTCTACTGATGGTCTTGAGTTAGGGTTAAGGGTTAGTGGTTAGTGGTTAGGGTCCTATAGAGGCATCAGTAGTTTCATAACCAGGTACGAACTCCTTTTAGTAGGTTTAAGAAAGAAGTAAAGGTATTGGCATTAAAATGTAATCAAGTAGAAGAACATGGATGTTTTTCTGGCCATTTTCTGGTTTTCTGCTGTGTTTTATAGTTTTCATGAACCAGTTGGAGACGGTTGTTTTATTGTTATTCTGTCACACAAGAGGAGTAATGGCTTTGTGAAAACCATGATGGATCTCCTCGAGGATTTTCATGTTTTCAGATCAGTTGGGAAATTAAAGAGAGTGGGAAAGAAAAAAGGATGGAAAGAAGGGGGTAAAGGGAATTTCAAAAACTGAGGGGAGTAGCCTGAACAAGAAGAAGATGAAATGTATTAATAAAATGAAAATAATATAAAAAATAGGGAGGATTTTGAATCCAAAATGGAGTTTCAAAGACTTTGTTTTCTGCATTCTGGGACTTTTATAAAACAATAAGTAGCCTACACTGTGTCAGCATTTTTTATGTTAAATTCTTTTAATTTTACTTTTAATTCTTAGGAAAGAATATAGAATAATTCAGAGAATCTGAACCCCCACTGCCCTCTGGGGAGGACGAGGTGCGAGAACTCTCTTCCGCTCCACGTGCACGCCAGGAAACGACTCTTGGTGTAGCTCTATTGTTCAGGTGGAAACTTATAGAGTCACAGAGCTTATAGCCAAAATACACGGACGCAGCTTGTGTTGCATTGCTTTATTTTTTTATCCTTAGTTTTCCAGATAGCAGCCGGTGCTCACACACATGCACAACAACAACAGACTCGACCTCAATGATTGGGTCAGCGAGTCGAATCAAAGAAAAACACACACTGTATGAAAACGAGTATGAACAAAAACAACAGGACCAAAAAGAAGTTAAACAATGTGCCAAAAGAAATAAGAGTATTTCCTCTTGTAAAAACCTTATCCTGTTATAAGTTAACATATTTCTGCATGGCAGCAGAGGGCATCCATCATAATCAACTGATGCTACAAACAGAGTCTGTGGTAAAGATCTGTCTGTGCATCGTGTCCAATGTCCCATATATTTCAACCGGGAGAAATGCATGAGAATTGTGACCCCAGGAGCAGTGGGGTGTCCAGACGAGGGGCACTGACTGTCAGTCAGTTATTTTGATAATGTTTAGGGCCTCCAGTATGCAGAACTTACTTTGAAGCATTATTTAGCCCCCTTGCCAACAAGGCCAGCGAGGTACCAATGGATCTAGTTTCTCCCCAGGCCCCCCTTTTGGAAATGCCCCTGCCCAGGAGAAAACCGGGAGAGGGTTGGCAAGTATACAGGATTCTGCTCCCTGTAGGCTTGCCAACCTCTCTCCCAAGGGATTATTGCTCACAAATTGTAGATAAATTAGCTGCAACCTGTAACAGGCACATTGCACATTGTTTGAAGCTCTCCAAAAATGGACCTGGAAGGTTGAATTTGACGTACAGTACTTATAAAGTATTTACTTACCTTCCACCTCCTGTTGAGGTTCTTGGCATCTGTGGATGTTTTTGCCACAGTTGAGTACACACAATCAAACACTCCCACATACACAACCATTAACCCAGAGGATTAACATGAAGAGGCCATAACTTTATCCCGAGTGCGTTAACTTTCTTCAAATAGGCGTACGGTGTGTGTGTGTGTGTGTGTGTGTGTGTGTGTGTGTGTGTGTGTGTGTGTGTGTGTGTGTGTGTGTGTGTGTGTGTGTGTGTGTGTGTGTGTGTGTGTGTGTGTGTAAGCAAACTGATTTGTGAGGATTGAGCTCCCAGCTGATGATGAGGCGATATGAGCACTCACCAGACTGTGAAATGTCTTCAGCCAGCATTCAGGAGTCCTCCACCAGAGAGACAACAACATGGTGAGACAGTGTGTGTGTGTGTGTGTGTGTGTGTGTGTGTGTGTGTGTGTGTGTGTGTGCAGTGCTGAATCTCAATCTCGCTCTTTCTTTCTCTCTCTCTCTCTCTATCTTCCTCTATCTTTCATTCCTGCGGTGTCCTCCCTTTGATGTCGGCCGACAAGGACAAACTTGTTTTGTTTCTTCCTGTCGAGTCGTCCCCCCCCCGATAACAGAGAGAATTCATGATACCGAATTCTCCCGCTGCCCTTAAACTCAACTCTCCCCACGCTGCACTGCAGATAACCTCACATAATTGGCAGGAGAGAAACACATCTCTATTCATATAACAAAAAAATGAGGCAACAGTGTCCCGGGGAGCTTTGATCCTCTGTAAACAGCGCGGCTGACGGTATTTATCACCAAATCACGTTATCAATAAAGACGTTTGGCTTTCTGTACGCCATGTGAAGGACACATAAACCTTTCGGGCTGTGTGTGTTTTTGTTTTGATCTCTTTCTTTGATTATCCTTTGTGTGTACCTGTGCTTTTGTTCAGAGTGTTTTCTGTAAACTAAGAATCCTGTTTTAGAAATGCCAACTTCCATCAGCTCTTCAGAACTTCATCACCACCTTTTATCCTTTCTGTCCCTCAATAACCTTTACAGGATTTACTTTACTTACAAACTGTTGTTTTACATCATATAAGAGTCAAAGTACTTCAGCTACAGCTAACTTTGAAAGGTTATTGATGACTCCTCCATCCCTGAGACTCGATGTCATACGTCTGATGCATGATGTGATGCAGTATAAAAGATAACAATAACTACAAATATATTGCTTTAAGACTTTCTAAAGTCTTTCTTACTCAAGTGGATGGCGGACTCTGCCACATTACAGTGGTAAACGATATCGATATCACTTTCACAGCGATTTGATGAACCATATTGTGGTATACAACTTATTAAACGCTTATATAAATATTCATTTTAGGCTGCAAGTAACACATAAAAACATACATTTACCTGAGACATATTGTCAAATGGTCTTTGAAGATGTGTTGTCATGTTTTACAGTGTGAAGTTGCAATCACATCCCTAAAAAAGGTTAAACATGTAAAAAAAAAATATGGATATTCATCTGGAAAGAGAAAAAACATCAATTGAAACTCGTCACTCAGGATGAATATTGTTCTTTTCGTCAAACAAAAGCTCTGCGTGTGACCTACAGTCGCAGTCATTTCCTGAGAGTAGCTGCCGCTCTCAAATATCTCATTTCAGGACAGAAGGACCTTTTTCAATTAAATTAAACTAGATGATTGGACAGCTTCCTTCTCCTCTCCTCGATTTCAGAGGACAAAAGGCTGCTGGATGCGTCTTTCACTGGTAGGTTGAGTAATGTCATCCCTTAAAAAACCAGAGCGCTCTGATTACATCTGGAGCTGCAGCGCTCTGATTTGGACTCTTCTGCAGTTCGGCAGCAGAGATACTTTCTAACACGCAGGCAGGAACCCTCTCCTCTGATTGTTAAACATGTTTTCCAGCTGGTGGATGGCTGGTTGTTGGGTGCCCACGATTACTGGGCGTCCCAAAACTGATTTGGGATCAGTGCAGTCGTCAACCGAAGAAATGCATGCACATGGAACAGGTCTTCTAGAAGTGCTGTATATTAGTAATAATCAGTATTTTCAAATATTGAGTGATCAAAATATCACAAAATATGAATCACATTAAAGCCTGTAAGCAGTTGCTAGGCAGATATTAGACAGTAGCTTTCTAAGCAAGTCTAAATAGAAGAAATCCACTTTATACTACTTAAAGACACACATTGGTTTTTTTTGTGGCTTTTCATTCTGAATTCATTAATTAAATTCTTCTTATAAACTGTAGTCACACCTACTGTAACTCTTTGCTCTGCCTTCATTTGCAATTTACTTCATTTTTCTCTCCTCGCAGTCTTATTTTCCTCGTGGGATCCCAACGGGCTCCTTTTCGACAATTCATTAGCTCTGACAAACATCAGAAAAACCTCATTTGGTGTGAAAAACAATGAGGAATTCACGCTGGATTGCTCATGCATAATATCTGCGTCTGTCAGTCTGAATTAGGGGGAGGAAGAAAAGGGATGGAAATGGATTCTATTGTTGTCAGTTATGGCGTTAATGAACAGAGCCGACTACGCCTGGCAGGTAAAACGAAACCGATCGGAAAGATTTGATATTATTATTTCACTTCAAATATGCAGGGTGATATTTAAAGCAGCAGTTATTTTGTACCTTCTGTAAAGTGAAAATATTCCTCAAATTGCTTCTTAAACTTTCTTTTTAACCCATTTGCACCCAAAGACTACATATAGTATGAGAAGGAAGAATGCCTTGGGTGATTATCTAATAGTGCAACCTTTTATATTTTTGGACTTTTATTAGCAAAGTCAGGGTTTTTGAAAAATTAGGGCAAATGCTTTATGTTCTCCATATAATAAATGTTTTTGTGCATAAGTGTGCGCGTTTTTGATATTTAATGAGCCTGATAGATAGCAAATACTTGATTGTGCACCTTGTAGTTTCTGAGCTGCAGCCAGTTTCTTAAATTAGTGTGCAGCTTTTATTTATATGGAGTATATAGATAGGAGTGTGATGCATGTGTGTACTAAAAAACAATATAAATCCCTCCATTTTAATTGCTTTTTCTAGGGCATTTTCTACTATTTTAGGGAAAAAAACAGTAGTCCCATGTGCCCAAAGACACCAATGGGTTAAAAAGAGTTCATGCTGCCTATAGTTGTGTGAGCACTGAAATTATAATACATTCGTCAAGATACCAAAATGCTTTCTCACTGTAATTATATACAGATGTGGCCTATATGACTTCCTCTGATGTGCTGTGGTTGTGTCTCTGTGTGTAAAGTATCACTGTACATGGATCCAATTACACCGCAGTCATGAGGCGGGTTTGGTTTGCTGGATGTTATGAAATCTGTGTGATCATCTCCATGCCCGTCCGCCTGTGAGGTGAAATAATGTGTTTTAACATTAAGTGTCATGTCAGTGCAATAATTTCTTGCATATGGGGACTCGTGATGTCATCCTTTCTTCCACTAAACAATCAGGAGAAATTAGCTTCTTTCATACGACACCAAAAAAGTTGCCTGACAGGAAACTCTTTGATCTCTTTGTTCCGTTTTTTTCATGAATTGGCCCGTATGCTGACTTGGACTCATGTCATTCTGAACCTTCTACAAAGTACGCTGTGGTTTCCTCTCTCCTCCGCTTTTGCTTTGTGTAGTTCATTAATAATAATCCTCTGAATCTGCCCTCAGGAAAACTGTGGTCCAGGAGTGTGAAGGTGGCCTACAACCTGCTGCACAAACTGGGAACCAAACAGGAACCACTCGTCAGACCTGGAGACCGGGTAAGTTCACAGAAAACCAAGCTGAACAAAAAAACAAACATGATTCTGATTAAGTGAGGTAGACAGAAAAGAAAACAAAACATGTGAGACTTGACTTATGACTTGAAAGTAAAGACAATCAATTAATAAGTTCTGGATTGGTAACGGGGAGCAATGCCGGGCGCTCATTGTGGTTTTATGTCTCACAGGGGACAAAGAAGATTAAGTAAGTAAAACCCTAAAATAATGAAAAAATAAGTCAGGTATTTGATTTTTAGGCCTCTGCCAAACAATCAGACTGAATTGCCTTTTTAATTTCATTTCTCTTGAGTCTGACATTGTTCATGTTAGCTGATTCATTTTGTTTCTAACCAATCAGTAGTCAGAGTGCTGAATCTTTCACTTGATGAGGTATTGATTGGAGAAAATAGTTGCAGATTAATTTCTAATGAAAATAATTGTTAGTTACCCGCCACCAAATAACCCCAATAAAGATGAAGAACCTTTAGTACTTCAAAGAACCACATACAGTAAGAACCATCCCCCTGAGTAAAGAGGATCTTCAGTTGGTGAGGGCTCTTTAAAGAACCAGAGAACCTTCTGAAGAACCTTCTGAAGAACCATAAGAACAATTATTTTTCTTCTTTTCTTTTCACAATGATCAAAGAAACGTGCTTTTAAGAGTTTGTGTTGATCTCATACATTTGTTTCTCATGGATGTACCTACAGAAGGTATTTAGTGAAGGTAGGTACTGTAGCAAGATGAGTGAGTACACCATTAACTGTATCTGTATCTGTATCTGTACTTGGACATGAGCGGGACTAAGTTGTTAATAAGCCTGACATCGATAAGGGTTGATCAGTCAAGTTGCTATTAGGAAACTATTTACAGAACAACCTCAGAAGCTTTAGAGCAATGTATTTAATCACAAGAGTAAGAGAACGATTTACAGAATAGGTTTTTTAAAATAAAAGTTGCTATAGAAAACACATATTGACACATTTTACTCTGATAATGCTTCCAGCTGAATTCTCAACCAATTTCTAATCCTGCCTCCAAAGCTGTGATTGATTGTTGTGGTGGCTGTGGCTTAGAAGGTAGAGCAGATCATCCAGCAGGTAGAGCAGATCATCCAGCGATAGCAAGAAGCCCCAAACTGCAACAGCGCCCCGCGTTGTAGCTTGCTGCTCTTCGACTGCTCTGAATAATCCACAGAACTGGACCGACCTGTCAACAGGGCTGATTGCTGCAGAAAAAAGTAGTTTGAATGAGATACATTCCTTTTAATGTTTTCAGCACCGAATTTCAATTCCTCTCCTGAGACAATAAAACCAAACAATCCGCGAGGCTCGAGGTTAATGAGAAGGTGTTTTTGTTATTTTTTTACACTTTTTTAACTGACCCTTAAACACGAGTCAGCACTCTGCTCAGAAACAGCTGGACTCATCAGACCTTTGCCTCTGTTGTCTCGTTGGTTCCTTCACTTTAAAGACATCACAGCAGTTTCACTGACATCACCTCTCAACAGTTTTGGGTGCTGGCCAGAAATCCTTTGTCGACTCAACACACGGCCATTGCTCAGTGTTTCTAAAAATGGACACGTGTAGTCCTTCCCTTCTTTCCTGTCAGTATAATCATCACATCACAGTCCGGGCCTCTTTACCCAGCACTGCGCACACAAACACCCGATCACACTGAAGTGGAAAAGGTTCAGTCATAGTCCCACATGTGTCTGCTGCCATGTGATACCCCCAGCTTCTCTGTTCTCCTTGTCCCTCTTTCATCTTTATTTTAAGCTCAATTTCCCACTCGGCTTGAGACTAAGTCAAGACGGGCACGATGCCAGTGTGTGTGTTTTAATGTATCTCAGCCAGAAGGAGGGTGTGTGTTTTAATTACTGTACAAGTGTGAATTACAAACTGCTCCTTTTCACAGTTTTACTGAAGTTATAATAAGTTGCACACACAGAAATTACAGTGTTGTGTCTTTATTGTGATGCAGGAGTGAGTCTTGCAGGATGAATCCAGACATTTGTTTTACTGCGAGAGTGTTTAGAAGGCTGAGGAGATTTAATTACACGAAGAGATGATACAGAAGTTGTTGTTTTATGAAAATGCATTAGAGGTTGTGTGATTTTGTGTGAAAAAAACAAGCTCACAGCATGTTTGGGGAAATTAGCTTTGAATTTCAGATGGTTAACTGCATGTTTGTTTTCATTTTTATTTGAAGTGTGTATTCCAGAGGCAGGAAATATTACATTTTCTCAACCACACAGAACTCCACATAATCCATCAAAACAAACATTAACCATTAGAGAAAATTAAAGTTCACAAAACATCGCTATCTGTTACTAAATCTATTTAATCTTAATCTAGTTATTTATTTTGAATTTTTAAACTGTATTTTAAAAATCTGTACACAAAATAGAAATTATACTTTGAAAATGATATCTGGCACATAAACACTGCTCACAATATGTTAGGCAGTCTCAAAAATACTCAAATTATTTATCAAGTACTTTTGGAAAAAAGACTCCTGGGAAAGCAGAAATACTGATGCAACTTCTTTACTTAAGAAAAGTGAGTAGGCTGTTTCTGTGCAAAGCTAACTGAAACTTCCCTCTCTCGTTTATTTTTGTCATGTTACGTCTTTCATGCATGATATGCACCGGTCTTCTTGTTGGTAAGGCGTTGAATAATGCAAAAAACTGTTTTTTAAATCAATATTTCCCCTCAAATGCAATTAAAGCTAAAACAACAAGCCTCTTTTGAAAATATTAGGAGTAGAAAGTACAGATATTTATTTAAAAATGTAGGTGGTTGATGCATATTTCTCTTTTCCTTTTCTGTGACTGAAAGCATTTTCTGTGTTTCTTCTTCGTCCTCCTTAACTGCTGGAGAATAATAGTCAAACTTATTGTAAAATATATCACCAGAGCAGTACAGCATGGCGTCCATAAAACAATGTAATCATCTTGACTCCAGCATACATTATCATCCACTCAATATGATAATATGAAAATGTTATACAATTTGTACACCAGCATACCAGAGTCATCAGTCATGACAATATCAAAGGATCAAGGAAATGTATTCACAATTATAAAATACAAGGTTGTACAACAAAATGAAAGTTTGCAGCTCCTTCATGCATGGGAATAATATATCAATAAAATAATATTAACAATACAGGACACTAAGTTTTTTTTATTATAAATATTCTTGCAACAATCTATAAAGTTGACCTCAGCCCTCTGTTGATGACGCATCTGATTACAGTGTTTCCATTTAAAACTGCTGGAAACGCATTCTGGTTTGCTAGATAGCACCAAGTTTCCAAGGATCTTGAACGGAACCGGCTCAAGAACCAGAACTAAACACCATGTTAGGCCTTTTCCACCAACAGGGAACCAGCTCCATTGCAGTTCAAGCACCTAGTTTTGAGCAAAATAAATTGGTTCTGAACCTGAAAAGTTGGTTACCAGCTGGAACCATAAAAAACGGCAGGTTTTCCTTGGCAACCAAAGTGGGCTCGTCATATTGTACAGGTTATTCCCTCTGTTGATGCCACATCTGATTACAGTGGTTCAAAACGTTGCCAGATTTAAGTTGGCCGCTTTAAGAACCAGAGCTAATTTGGTGGAAAAACACCATTTGTGGAGTTCTCTCTCCTGATTTGGATGAAAAGGATACCAGAAACTTTATTGTTCCATGTTACTGAATACTCTATAATAGTAAAAATATAACTTACATCACCTTTAATGTGCCAGTATTAAACTGTAGGTAATGACAGCAGTGAGGCTTCACTAATGAGCACAGAGTTAGTGTAGATAGGTGGAGAACAGGGACAACAAAAAGGAAAGTAGCTATATAGTCCAGAACCAGACAAACTTAATTTCAAACATATTTGATATTTGCGAGAATGGGGACAACCAAATGGGTATACGAGGAGAAGAGAGAGGAGTTTTGAAATAATATTAGTTGGTAACCTGAGTCTGAGGGGCCGCTGCAGGGGGAAGGAGAGAAGACAGAAAAACCAAAACCACACAGAAATTAAAGAAATGAGAAGTCGCAGGTAGGAATGAGAAAGAGAGACAGCAACTGTGTGTGTGTTTGTCTGGTGGTTTTTAGCTCCTGACACTTCTTACAGAAAGAAGTACAGCAAATTGTTGGGTCAATCAATCTGATCTATAGGTATTTTATTAGAAGCTTTAATCAGCCGAACCTTCGTGAAGGTTTTTATGCAGTATGACGTTGTTGAACCTCGTGCACACACAGTATCAAACAGTCATTTCCCCTCCTCTCGCTATCGGTATCCTCCACAGATGAAACCCGAACGGCTCCAATGAGACCTGCACATGTCAACATTAGTCCTGTTAAAGCATCATTACACCGCTCTCAGTCACTCAGGTGCACTTAGCTTATAGCACACACGCTCACGTACAGTCCAGTGCTGCATGTGGAAGCTATTAAGCAGCACTTAAGATGGGAGTTCAGCGTTATCGTCACAACGTGCAACTGGAGCCAGACGGGATCAAACATGGCCGAGCAGGAGATAATAAAGGCTCTGCACTAACATGTTGAATCTGGCTGTTATGTTCATGTCCTGGGTGTAAGATAGATGGCAGATAAAAAACTTCCTGCACTGGGAATATGTTTCAGATGGGCTTTCGTGTCGTAGATATGATCTTGGGATGAAGATAGATGTAGTGAAATGTGCAGAAGGAGCTGTGACAGACATTTTAATCGAAATTAAAATTCTGTTCTCGACAGAAATTACAAGATTATGAACTTTTAAAGGTAAAATATATCTTTTGCCACTTGCTTGATGTGTTAGCATACATGTTAGCATTAGCTGATTCTCGGCTATTATGGGGGATATCCAGTGCAGATATCAAGGGCCAGCTGTCCAGTGTCTTAATTTATTTAATTGTAATTTATATTTGCATTTATTCTTATTATCCTGGTTTGGTTTTGTACTCTTGCCGAACCTCTCCTCTGTTTCATTCTTCGTTTGCTGTTGCTGCCATGACACCTGAATTTCCCTCCAGGGATTAATAAAGGTTTATTTTATCGAAGAAATGCTGCATTTGGGTTGCAAGAACATGCTTCCTTGCTTTAAATACTCCTCTTTAATTGCAATTTTTTTTTTATTTTCTGGCAACACAGAAGCATATCCAGACTAGTTTCCCAGTTCTGAACCAGTTCTCAGTACCAAACTATTTACCAAAGATAGATTAGTAACAGTTCAGGTGTACAGGTACATATTTTCTTGGTTTATAATATATTTTCTATACCCCCCTTTCAGTTTATTGTTCTTTTTTTTCACATCTAGAGGTTTGTCATTTAACTTGCTGTTGTTCTATAAGAATTCTGGCGGTTTAGCGTCACCTCAGTGTGCCACTAAAACAGTTTGAACTAAAGTGAATTAATGAGCTGAAACAGAGGAAGATGCTGAAGGGAGAGAAACAGACACAGAGAGTAAGAGATACTGGAGAGAAATTAATGGGAGGGAAGTTAAACAGTGTGATGGCTGTCAGAGAGAAGAAAGCAGCATAACAGAAGTAGAAGAAGGAAGTCACGAGGGAAAGGATTTAGACAGACATTGACCAGATGCTCCCCTGAAAGATTTTGCTTTCTTATTCTCTGATAAGACCCATCGACCGAGCATATGGCTCTCTGGTGACCGTCCATATCATCATTCAACATCATACACAACATTGATGTTTGATTCTTTGCTACCTTCCTTTTTTATTTGTTGTGACACACAAAATCCATAAAATGCTTCTGATTTGGGTGACAAATAAACCCATTTTTAACTTTTTTTTTTGAGGGGAAGTGTTCTCTGAACTCACCTTAGCACAACTCTAAAGACGTTTTAAAAAATCGGTCAAATCGATTGGCTGGAAAGTGATTTCTTTCTTAATAAGGATTCCTCCATTTTTATTGCTTATTTTGGTCTTTTCCTACCATTTTAGGAAAAATAAAAGTTGTCAAATGTGCCCAAAAGACTAAATATAGTATGATAATAAAATTGCACAAGGTAAATGTCAAAGATTCGCACACGTATGGAGTGTCAAAAATATTTTATACGGAAAACCTGTTGCACTCTTACATACTCTACTAAAGTATGTCCGTACCAAATGTCAAGACTTTAGACCAACCAGAACAAATCCTACCAACACACATTTTAAATACAGTTCCATGCTTTAAAGGCTGCGATACAACCAACTATTTCCCGTGTAACAGTGCAGCAACAACAACATAACTTTGTGATCACCAGATATACATCTTCCCTCCCAACTCTAACTCGTCTCTGCTGTCTCCTTCTGCCTGCAGGTGGCGCTGGTCTTCCCAAACAACGACCCTGCTGCCTTCATGACGGCTTTTTACGGCTGCTTGCTGGCCGAAGTCGTTCCTGTGCCAATAGAAGTACCACTGACCAGGAAGGTGAGCTTTCCTGACGCCGAACTTCAACCAAAAACTGACATGTTTGAATGAATGTATTATGAGTAATTAATCCTCTATGGTTCCTTTATAATAGGGATGAGTGAGTACATTATTATCTGTATCTGTATCTGTATCTGTTCCACCAACTAAATTATCTGTATTAGTATCCTTACTCAAAATAGGGCTTTAACCAGGCATGAGTGGTGCTTAAACCGGAAGTGGGCTGTGAAGTGAAAGTTGGTATATTTACAAGTACGGAGACAGACACATTTTACTCGTTTGATACACTTCGATACTATCGGATGTTCATTTCAGCCAAGTACTCGCTCAACCATAATTTTTATATCCTTTAGTTGGGTGAACTTTCTAGGGTCAAATGTCATTAATCATGGATAGTGACAGTGTCGCCTTATACTGAGAGGTTAAGGCACTCTCTATTAAACAATTAAAATGTCTTTATTGTTGGTCCTAAAAACAAGCATCCAGCGTGCCTTTTGGAATTTGTTTTTAGGTGTAACTAGGACATGTCGGGACAATAAAGGCACTTTAAATGTTTAAAAGAAAGTGCCCTCCCCAAGAACTTCTCCCCAAACCTTTTTTTTTTTATCCTGAGGTGTTGTTTTGTAATAACCTGCCCCCCTCATAAATGTAAATTAAATGAGACAAAACACCTGTCAACAATTCAATAAAAGTAAAGTAGATGTATTTGGTGCATGGGCACAGAAGTCTCGATACACTTCTCCATAACACAGCCTTTACATCCAAATACAAAAGTTCTGCATATGCATATAGTATTAAACTGAGAGTTTTCTTTTAGCTTTGTGGCCACCGTAGTTGTCTTGGAAGGATGAGATGAGGGGGTTGTAATCTGCAACTACATCGCTAGATGCCACTAAATCCTACACACTCCTTTAAAACTCAGCATCAACAAGAACTGAACATTATCAGCTTTACAAAGACAGGATTTGTTTCAGGTTTTCATTGCCTTGCACAGATGTCCCTAAAATATAAAATGGGCCTCCTCAGCTTTCTTCTGTTAGTTTTATGTGTGCAGAGCCAACCCTGACGACACTCACTGTTCATAGGCAGCTAATTTTCGTGAAACGTAAAGTATGCTGCCTAGATTACGTTATTTTATCAACATTAGGAATAAACATTTATATTGTATCTGCAAGCGGACAATAAATTTGGGGAGCTTGTCTGTTTTCAGTTGGACCTCGGGCAGTCAGAGCAGTTTTTGTTGCCATTTCCTCTTTTTCTTCATGTCAAACAGTATTAGCGAGTTAAAAAGAGGACGCGCAGCAGAGCCGAACGGCGCTAATTCACACCAGTTGATGGAGCTAATTCTTCTTCGGGGGATTGTATTAAAAACATGAGTCATCAGAAGGCGCCGTGGTTTGAGTCATGGTGCAGCACAGAGGACAAAGAGCTCTGCTGAGGTGTAACGAGAGCCAAATGTCTAAGAAGAAACATCTCTGCTGTTGTTGTTGTAGGTTTGCTTGAGTCATAGTTTGGATTGGCCGTCACAGAGCGCTGTAATGTCCTCTGGGAGCAACCGGGAGGGCCAGAGTGTGTGTCGGAGTCAGTGGAGGTCGGAGAAAAAATGTTTTTAGTACATATTCTCTTTCAAACATTTAATAACTCATGTTAAGTTAATTTTCAAAGCTACAATAAATAACAAAAAAAAGATACTTTAAGAAATAAAAAATAGATAAGTACATGAATAAGTAAATGAATAGAAAAAAAACAGGGACCAAAGTCTTTTGAATATATTGGAATTTTTTCTTAAATTATTCATCATGTTTTCATTTGAGAAACAGCAGAACTGACACAGAACAGGGAACCGTCTTTTCAGCAAAGAGCTTTCTACACATGTAATATCTCCTGTT